AAGAAAGAACAGTGTTTTGATTAAAAAATAAATAAATAATCAGAGTAAAACTGAACAGTCATTTCTCTGTGTGGAACAAATGAAAAAAGTCAAGTTTTTGTATTTTTGTGATTCAGACATGTTGCTTTCAATCATCTGATCTGGCTCTTTCTGTACTGGTTTCTTTCTGCTCTGTGCACTCATTCTGAAGTATTATTTTTATCGTTTTAAGATAGACATACATAAAATATATTCTTTCATACCCTCTGGTTTCACTCAGATTGCTTTAAGATTGCTATTTCCATTGTTTATGTTTTTCCAAGTTGTGAGACAACAGTAGAGATTACACACCTGGAACATTTTTTCTCCTTTTTTATAAATGTGTTTAAAGTAACAAGAGCAAACTAAGTGAAACTAGACACTTTAAATACACTTCAAGAGTTTGAAATGAACGAACCATCTCTGTGTTACTGCTTAATATTAAACTTTAAGGGTTCATTTAGAAAGGGCTACATTGATTTTCTGGATTAAGAGAAGCAAATGAGGTGAGACATAAATGTCAATACTGCTGAGCCAACAAACATAGACACTAGATTTTTATATGCAGTAATAATTTTCATCAGTCATCTGCTACACTCCTTTAGGTTCATTCTAGTTAGTTTTTATTTTTATGTTAGCACTTTAAAAATGCAGCAAATGTGTTATCATAATCATAATATGAACTTTTATTGTATGTTTTTTTCCCATCTGAATAAAACAAATATTAAATAGTTTAATGTTTCATAAAATCTATTATAAGAATTTCAACAAGTTTTTGAGCAGATTTATATTAACTGAAACTGCTTGGAGAGTAGAAGGTTTACGTGATAGATGGTGTTAAAGATGGACTACGTATGAGTTAAAGCTCACTATTCTCAAAATAAAATGTTAATTTAAGAATTAGGTCATAGTGGTTCTGAAAAGTCCTCAAGCTAGAGCATGAATCTTTTTCTGCTCACCGAATTTGATACATTTTATCCCCTATCTGTTTTGTTTTTTTCCCTGCCTGCTTAGCAGTACCAATTTAATCAATTGAATCCCAATAAAAGTGCTACAGATACAATAAAGCATTTTTGTATATATATTTTTGTTATCATATTCTGTTGTTCTTTTCCTAATACCCACAGCATCATTACCAGGATTTATTGATAACTTAATTCAGTGTTTTTTTGTTTCACTATAGTAAAATAATGGTTTGTTCTCGCTGTGAGAGAGACAACAAAGCCTAATAGTGATTTATGTCTAATGATCCTGCAGAGACCAGTTTAAGCCCTTTAAAAAAACTCAGTTTGTGCGTGTGTGTGTGTGCGTGTGTGAGTGATTGGCTGTGTGCATATCTAAAGCTGAGAGCATTGAATAAAAAATTAAATAACGTTAAATAAAGTTTTTGTACAAAAATGTATTACCGTACTTGCCGCTGTACATGTCGCACCGCCGTATAAGTTGCATCTGTCCAAAAATGTCTAATAAAGTTGAAAAACATAAATATGTTACTTCACCGCATAAGTCGCATCTATTATGCATCACCGCTGACCACCCAGTGTTGTGCCAAAAATTGATTAACTGCCAAATGGCGACTGCGGGAGGACTTTAGCAAGAATTTAACAAGCTTAACACTTTAAAACAATTATTTGTTTGCTCAAAATTATAGTAAAGGTTTGTCTCAGTTTAACTTTTCCTTAATACATGCACTTTGACGGTCAGATCAGCTGTATTTCGCCTGGGCGGCACGGCTAAATGCAGCTGATTTGACGTTTGCTCCGGGAGTTCCAGAGCGAGACAAAGGTGGCTTGGTATGGCAAGCCAAGTGTCTTATTAATAGACACTTTTACCTATTAATGAGACATTTGGCTTGCCATATTAGTCGAGAGCCCTCTAGTGGCTAAAATTGGTAGTGTTCAATATTTTCCATGACAGAATGAATGAAATTGTCAGATCTCAGCCAAAAATTGGGTTATAAATATTGGGGAAAAAATTATATTAGTCACTTCAGTGTTTAAGTTGCAGGACTTACAAATTTATGCAAAAAGGTGTGACTTATACAGCAAAAAATATGGTATGTTCAATGTTAGTCCAACAATTGCTCAATAAGGTTATAGGCAAAACAGGATATTTATCTAAAAATATATCCAACATTTTTCAGTCAGGTCATCTGGACAGTTTCTTTTTTTTTGTTCGCCTTCAATCCAGAAGGCTTCATCAGTCAAGGAAACACACAACAAAACTGATTCTTCCCCCAACAGCTTACTCCAAAGTGGAACAAACCAGTTTGGTTAGTGCTAGATGGTCTCTTTGGTACTCCCCCTCCTCCATTGCCAGCCCTCTTACTTGTTGACAGTCGTATCAAACTGGTTGAAAACAACAAAGTCCATGCTCAATAATCCAGGTATATATTTCCTTGGCTGATGAAGCCTTCCGGATTGAAGGCGAAACGTTTCAGCACAAAAAAAAAAAAAAGAAACTGTCCAGATGACCTGACTGAAAAATGTTGGATTGTATACCTGGAGCATGGACTTTGTTGCTAAAAATAGATCATTTGTCTCTCCTTTGTTGACTTCTATAACCCTCCTTTTCTGCCTGCTCATTTCTGTGGCACATGAAATGTACATAATGAAAGAGCCTCACTTGTCCCATAATTATGAGGTAATTATCAGAAGATGATCTTAAATGTGGATCAGAACAAAAGCAAGACAAACAGGGAGATGTAGATGACATCATAAAGACAAAAGAGGGTCTGATTTTAAAGGAAATGGGGAATTATGTTGTCAGGATAAAAGGAAACTTAGAGATTTGACTCAAGATACTTGTGATTAGGATGAGTGAAGAAAACAAGTGTGTGTGCACGTTGAGTGCATGTGTAAATGTGTGTAGTTGTGCATGTTTGAAAAAATAAATGTAGATTAATTAAACTTCAGAAAAAAATCAATAATGCTTTTATTTCTCAACTTAATCAATAACTTGATACCCCTGAAATTAGACAGTTATGCCTTTGGCAGGCTGTGTGTGCATGTGTGTGTTCTGAGTCCTACTTATCACAGGGCTTTTGTGAACACAGTTGTACAAAGATACTGACTCCCAGAGCCATCTTTCATCCAGTAATTGAATAGTGAAGACACAAAGAAATGCACACATCGGCGAGATGTTGAGAAATTGTTTTGTTGATGCTGAAGTAATTAAATGTCGTGGGCTGCTGAAGCTTCAGTGCGTTGCAACACACACTGGTGCATTTGTGACTTGAATGTGGGATTCACGTGGCCAGTGTTAGCCATTTGTAGGAAGATTGTCCTAATGAGCTACACTTGTAGCCACAGGAAAGATCCAAAGGTAAAGAAAACAATAGCATTGATGAGTTCAGAGATAGGTAATATCTTATAAGTGGGGTTCTGTGAAAAGGTTAGGAACATTCATTATCTTACATGTTGCAGATAACTCTTTGAACAACTTTAATTTGGAAAAACAGAGTTTAATTCTGGCTTGATTGACAAATGAACGGCTAGTCTGATTGGGGTTGAGACCATCCTAAACAGAGAGGTCATTTTTGAAGTGAAGTTATGTCAGAATGTTATCAAGGGTTTGAATCAGCCTTTTAGTTTGTTGCTGTTTTCTAAACTTGCCACACAAATTTATGAGAATGTACTTGTTTGTGTTGTCTCACCTACTGTTCAAATATTCAACTCATGATAATAAAAATAGAATAGAATATACTTTATTGTCCCCTAGGGGACATTTGTCATGGACTCAGGACTATAGCATAGTAGCAGCTGCCTCAATAGACAGTAAATACACATACAATTCATATACATAGCTAAAAACAAGACTACAAATACAACAGTTAAAAAAAACAACAACAGAGAACACCAAAGTTCTTGCACACCTTCCAGGCCTCAACATATAATCTATTTAAAATTTTGATTCACATTTTTGATGGAGGTCGGTACAAAAGCATATTTACAACGGTTCAGTTTAGTTTTTGAAACTCTATACATTCTACCAGAAGTCAAGAGCTCATATTCCACATACAGGATGTGGGACGGATCCAACAATACCCTCCGTGCCTGCCTAAGTACAGACTGCTCATAGATGGACTGCAGGGAGAGCTTTTCGGTCCTCCCCAATACCTTCATAGCAGTCTGTACCAGGCGCTGCAACTTAGATTTAGACTGAATGGAGAGATTGCTTAACCATGCCGTCATCCCATACCTGTTAACTGTCTGGTAAAATAAAAACATGGTGTTCTGACTGATACCAAACATCTTCAGTCTACAAAGAAAAAACAGCCTTTGCTGTAACCGGGAGCATACATGGTCAACATGGTCACTCCAGCTTAAGAGGTTATCCAGGTGAATACCCAGATACTTATAAGAAGTGACCTGATTTATCCCCTCCATGTGGATGGACAGTGGGATATGATCCCCCACCGCCCGAAAGAAGAGCCGTAAATATCTCATTTCCTGTTTTAATATGTTACTTTGAGTAACCTGGCTCTTTGCTTTCAGTGTACAGTACGTTCTGATCTATTATAACAATAAAATAGTGTTTAAAAAAATTCTTAAAGAAAACGAGGTGTTTGGAAACAGTAGAGATGTTGATATCTTGAACTTGTTTTCATACTCTTGCTTCCTCATTAATTCTCCTTTTTCCTCCGCTCTCATCCGTTTATGGGCAACTGTGGCTGAGTGGTTAGAGCAGTCCTCCTCCAATGGGGGTTCAATTCCACCAGCAATTACATGTTGAAGTGTCCCTGCAAGACACTGAACCCCTCATTGCCTCTGATGTGTGTCCCATCTTTGTATGAATGTGATCTAAAGCACTGATTAGTCTCCACAGATTCAGTTTATCTTAGTAGAGATGTAGTAAAGTACTGTGTAGAGGTAAATGAGGGCACAGACTGTAGTGTAAAGTGCTTCGAGTATCTCAATAAGATAGAAAGTTGCTATGTCCATTTACCATTTATGTTCCCTTTGTCAATCTCTTTTCCACAGAACGGCCGCAGCCACCCAGGAAGTTGTCCATTCCTCAGGATGAAGTTGAATCCCTCCAACTCCATCTCTACTGGGTGACAGGAAGTTCAGGCTCCTCTCCGTTGAGGTATTTTACTCTGCAGTTGAAGGAGCTGCCCAGCGAACCCTGGAGGACGCACACAGCTGACATCCCACATAACATGACCTCCTGGACTGTTAACAGGTACACAAGCGTGCATAAATGCAGTCATGTTTGCATATAAATATATATTATAAAGTAGCTTTTTTAGTAATATAGATTTGAATGTGGGAAACTGAGTACAAACAATCCTTTGTGGACTGGACAGCCTAAAACAACTGGAGTACAATAAGTTGTAGCATGTAAACATAAACAAAACCCAAGTTAGAGACGTATGATGCTCTCTGCCTTTCTTTTTAATCCCTTTAGTAAAAAAATGTTTTCTCCCTTTGCTGCCAAGCTTTGTTTGCGTGTGTTGCCCATTCTTTCTTCACAGTTTTTGCCTTGTCATCAGCCAGTACTTTCATCATCACCACTTCCTTCCATTTCTCCCTTCAACCATCAACAGTCAAAGCTTTCAGCTACCATCAGCCCAGCATTTTTTTTTCCTCTAAGCATCAACCCTACTCTGCCTCTTGAAGGGGACTTCAGTGCTTTTGTCTCTTCCTTTTACATTCCTGTCTTATGTCGTCCTCCCATTCCTGTGATACAGTCATTAAGCCAACGGGTGACAGTGGTCAGACTGGATGGCTACTCCAACTTTCCCGACAGCTGGAGTAGCAGCACCACGATGACTCTTCACCATTACTCAAGTGTGTTTCAGTGTTTCGTGACCGCCTGTGCGTGCTCCTTCACCAGCTATCATAGACCTATTTCAGATGTTGAAGTGTGTTCTCTCAGCGTGCTTGTTTCGTCCCGCCTCGGGGACTGTCTCTCTGCCATTATGGTGCAGATTCTGTCGATGTTTTGACAACATTACTTTTAAACTCATTCGGTTACTGAATACTCTGGTTAAAGCGACGGAGGAGTGAATTAGCTTACATCTCCTTGTGCTTATGCTCATACATATTTCTTATGCTGCATGCTAATTGTTGTTTCCACAGAGATGTCTTTGGAACCAAAACATCATGGCCCCCAGGCTGATGATGCACAGACACATTTTCAAACATTGTCCTTAACATCCTCCCACTGCTGTTGGTATCCCACCTAGTTTAAACTTAGTGTCTTTGATATTGTATTCCTGATTTGTATACAAGTCTGTGGGGCATTTTCCCATCCCTTATTAAGTCCAGCTCGTAATTATACAGGAGGACATCTCTCCCCTGCAGGTTGCTGCTGAATGTCTGACTGGTCTCCTGTAGTCCCCTTGGTATTTTAGTGAACAGCCATGCATGAAGACTTGTGAGCACACTGGTTTATCCTTATTGCCAAACTACTTGTTTTACGCTGTTTCACTGAAGGTTGGAAGAGTTAAAACTGGACAAACTGTCTTTTAAACACTTTTTAAAATTATTATTATTAACCAATTTTGCCTCAGAGTGAGTGAGGGGAAGGCTCAAATCTGGTTTTCTGATAAATGAGTGTACATCAGTCTAATGTCAAGGCCCTCTAGAGTTAAATATTTCCAAAATGACTGATTTATATTGTTATTCTGTGTTCATTAAATCATTCACCTTGGACAGAGGAGAAATGCAGATACCATTTCAATATTGCAATAAAAAACCCTTTGACACTGGAGACAGTAAGGAAAGGTGAGGGAAAATTGTTATTCAAGAACTGGTGTGGTCTTCCAAGGCCACTGAAGAAGCACAAAAAAACTGTTTAGAAAGGTGGGAAGGTTATGGTGAAAGAAACTTACACCTAAATTGATAAATGCACACTGCAGAATTTCCAATCATTTTTGTGTTTGTTTATTATGTGTAAGCAGCTTCTTATTATTGCCCCCACCACCAAAGATGTAGATGTTTAATGTTTTTGACCTTGTCTGTGTGTGTGCTTGCGGTTGTTTCTCTGTAGTGTCAGCAAAATATCTCATGAACCACAGAATATATTTTAATAAAACTTTGAGGAAATAATCATGTTATGTACCTCTACGACTGATTAACATTTAAGCTAACCCAATTTTAAATGGTCGCCACAACCAAAATTGACAATCTAACACCATTCAGTCAAGTTTACAGGTATTAGGGTAAAGTTAGGTGTGATAGTAGCTCAAAAACTGTGTGAAGATCTGTGAGAGCTATTTATTACGTAATGTTGTTGCTTAAAACATTTAGTTTTAAATATTGGTGTCAATCTTATTTGTCTGTTAACAAAACATTTCACGAATCACTGGGTAAATTTTAATGAAACTTTCAGAAGGTAATGTCGGTAATTGGTTTTACATCTCCAATTTTATTTATTTGTACTTATTTATTTTATTTAAGTAGTCTCATTGGGTCACGAGGACTCATTTTCAAGAGAGACCTGTTTTGGGAGCAGATGATGGGGGTTAAGTGCCTTGCTCAAGGGCCTAGAGTGGGGCAAATGAGGATGGAGGCAGGTGTGGGTGCTTCACCTTTTCCACCCACATTTTGATGTTGTCGGTCCAGGGAGTCAAACCGGCGACCTTCTGATCACAGGCCTACCTTCTCTAACATCTTCACCACCACTTCTGAAGTTAAACAAGTTAAAAATGACCGCCACTACTAATTAACCATGTCCGACCAACACATAAACGGCTATACAGTACCTCGATCAGCTTTACAGATACTGGGATAAATGTAAGGTGGTAGTAGCTGAGACTCATTCATTTGCACATAATATTATTTTTTTTAATTGACCAAAATGACTAAAATGCTGTAATTTCTCATCATAAGATGATCTTAGTTCAACTATGGCATAAAAGACGCCAGGCAATATGCATTTCTTCAAGCAATGCTGATACTTTCATACAGTATCACTGTATTGTTAAAAACAAAACAAAAAGCATCAAGAGGTACGCACATAATTTAGTATGAAAAAGCCTCCGGGGCTAAATGGCTGAGGACTGTAGAGCTGAAAAGCTCTAAAGTAATCAGTTTAGATCTTGATATCGTTTAAATGTAGTTTTCAAATTTTTTACTACATAGACGTATTCTGGCGCATTTTATTTCAATAACCATTTTTTTTTCCCTTCCAAATTCAAAAGCAACGACTTTCTGAATTTCTGTGTGAAAGTTCCTGGGGGCATCTAACACACTGCTTCACCGTGCTGCTGACACAAACGCACACAAGCTCTTTTTTAGTCACAATTTCGGAGAACTGCACGTTAAAGAGTGTTAACATTTTACTAGAGTTGACTTTAACGGCGTTTGGTGCCACAAGTACTACAGCTGTTCCTCGTGCAAGCGCTGAAACACAAGTAATCCTGTCAAAGTGAATGTGTAGAGTGCCATTTTCAACCGCAAATCTTTTAATTCATATATTTCAGCCTCTGGTGTATTATGCAGCTACCAGTAAAACGTCAACACAGAGCTAACTACATCAGTTATTAATTTCATTAAACTATACCCAGCTGATTGTGTTGCTGTGCCTATTTTCTAGGTTCATCCATTTTGTTTTAAACCACTTGGAAATGAAATAATGATATTAGTGGTTGAAGACATTGGATTTGAATAATTTATTTGTTAAACTAATAACTCTGCACATACTGTAGAAGTACTTTCACATGTCTTGTATTTGTCTTACGAAGTGACGTTAGAATTTGCTTTTCAAGAATGTAAGTTTAAGTAAAAGTTAACACAAGTTTCCTTGTGTTAGCAAATCATTACCTGTAGTTGCATTGCTAGAGTTTTATTTGCAGAGGAAACTGAAACGGTTCCAAATGGATAATGTCATTATTCATTTAAAGCCATAAATTTAATTTGAACCAAGGGTAATGAAACTGAAAGGTATTCTAAATAATGCATAAGCATGAATATGCAACAAGCTCCTCACCATTTGATTTTTTTCAAAACGAATATACATGTCCGTATATATTATAGAAATAATTAGATTTTTTTTTTCAAGCAGGGTTTTGCAGATAAGTTTTGAATAACTTAAATCTTACCTGTTGTAGCTCTTGAACAACCTCAATCTGGAGACAAAGTCTTTAAGTCTGATTGGATTGACGTGTTAATGGCTAGTCAGAGCAAGTCAAAGATCAAAGCTGCTATCTTAAAACAATTCCAATCTAAAAATATTATTGCCTATCATATAAACAATAGTGGCTCTGTTGCCTCTCAGCAAGAAGGTTGCCGGTTCAAATCCCGGCCAGGGACCTTTCTGGGTGGAGTTTGCATGTTGTCTCCGTACATGCATGGTTTCCTCCCACAGACCAAAACGTGCATGTTAGACTGGAGACCTGTCCAGGATGCCCCCTGCCTCTCACACAGTGACTGCTAGACTTGGGCACCAGTGACCCCTATGATCTGAAAAGGAAGATGTGGGTAAAAGATATTGGATGTATGTATGGATGGATGTATGCATGGACGGACGGAAACAAAAAGTTTAAAAACATTTATTCCACTATCTTTACATTGTAATTGCACAATTATTCCAGAAAATTAATATACCACTGCTGGAAGTGCCTCAAGCAGCATTTTGAGTTTTACAGCTAGAAAGTGCTGCTGCTACGATTTGTGCTCACAAATAACCATATAATTCAATGTTAAAAAACTGTGTCATGTGAAATTGAAAAAGATGTAAAGTATAAAATTGTATTGGCATGAACCACTCTGATATTAAAGATGCAATTTGGTTTAAGATGGCACAGATCCACTTTGGTCTTGCTAACACTCGGACTAGCAATTAGCTTGTCAATCCTGACATAAACTCTATTTGTCCAAAGTGATTTTATTCAAAGAGCTCTCTATAAGAGGTAGGATATTAATTGTTCATAACCTTTTCATAGAGCCCCACTTCAAAAGCCTGAAATGTCTATGTAGGTTATATTTGACAGAGTGTATGCCTTAAATTATTTATAGCTTATTCAGTGTCCTGTAAATTTAGATTTATTTTTGTCTGTAGGCTGAAGCCCTTTACATCTTACAAGTTTCGAATGTTTTCCACCAACGACGTTGGGGACAGTGTTCTCAGCAAGGAGACGGATGCTGTTACAACTCTTCAGGACGGTAAGAATCTGAGACGTTGATTCAGGACAAGGTTAAAGAATGAAGACTTGAGAATGTATGGATTTGTAAGGGCACAATATTGTGGAGTTGTTGGGAGATTGACAATGTGTCTCTACATCTTTTCCTTTTTCTGTTTTCCTTTTCAGTGCCTAATGAGCCTCCAGTGATACTATCAGTGAAACCAACAACCACTACCTCAGTGCTGGTGCAGTGGAAGGTATTTTCAGGCTTCAAACATGTTCCTGATAAAAAATAAAAAACCTACACAACAAAACATACAGTCAAAGTCCAGTTTAATCAGCCACTTTGAGAGTTGAGTCCCGACAGGCTTTGGTTGGTTGTGATTTATACTGTTTGTTGCTGTTGGTTTAATTATCATTATTTATTAAAACAGGAAAAGTCAAAAAGCAACAAGGATAGATTGTAATGATGGAGGGAGGGAGAGAATGACAGAAGGATCAACAGTATTAGTGGGGGAGAACATTTAATGATTATACACAAGCTGATGATGTCTAATAGGTCAAAAGGAGCCCCCAGCAGTCAATTCAGCAACAGAGGAAATAAAGACAAAAGGAGAAGACAGAGGATACATTCGTAGTGCTTCACAGCTTGCCTTTTTTCCTCTTCTTTCTGTAAATGTCTTCTTTCATCTTTGTAACCTTATGTCAAAGCAGGAGGAGGCAAAGAAAACACAAAGTCACCAGCAATTTCATCACCAGTTACAAGAATGCCAAACCTACTGAAGCATCACTTTGCCTTTGCAAGTTACCACCAGTCCAATACATTTACCCTTCAAGTTGGACTGCTAATAAAATACAGTGCTGCTTAGCTTTCCTGTCTGTAACCTTTGGGCATCCAAAAATGAGCACTATACATATGTATTTACCAGACTTGGGCTACATTCATGCCTCAAGTTTTGATTTCCAGTTCAAGTGTTTTGCTTTAACCCAATTTTGTGTGTTATAATTCACATTATATTTAAACGTGACTGCCATCAGAATCCAGTGAAAATACTCCTTGGCCATGTGGGTCCCCGACATGCACAGTAGAAGATGTGCCGTCACACGCAACATGCTGTGTTTACAGAATATAGACGCAACATGTGTTGGCATGTGTGTATCAATTCTAAAGTTGTTGTAATAAAGATGTTTGTTTAGTCCAGTGGGTACATCACCTACTCCAGCACAGAATAGCACTTTTGGAACGGGAGCGACATAATAAAATTTGAAACACACTACCATCGGGTAGTACTGATAAAATATGACACCCACTTTGACATGTTATACAATGATGGAAATTCATCCAGAATCCAGTTCCATGTCAACAGTAACATGGCAAATCTAAAAGGTAAAAAAAAAAGCAACTAGACATTTTTTCTGTAACTGCCGATGTTTGGAGTTGTGAGCTTTAAATTTCATGACGTTGGTATCAATGTTTGGATCAATTTGCATACTTCTTTACTTTACATACTCATACTTTGAGTGTCTTGATAAGATAGAAAGTTGATATAGGTACAGTCCATTACCATTCTATGCCATTTATGTCAAAGTTGGCATGACCATTCAGAATGAGGTTGTTTTGAAAAGTATTGAATATGTATCTGACTTAGTACCACAAATAATTTGAAAAAATATTGGGTTTGCCATGTTCAGACTGTCCACAAAATCTGATATGGGTCACAAATGGACTAAAGAAACCTGGATGTGTGCCACTGATGCCTGCAGTGTGAATGTAGCCCTAGTGATTCCTTTGAAGAAATGAATGACTAATGTTTGTCTATGTTTTTAGCCTCCCACTGAAGACGGCATTAACGGGGTCTTGACTGGATACCGAGTTTATTATAGAGAACTCCCAGTTAACACATCTACTTTCACTGAAGCAGAGGTCCAGACTACCAAAAACAACACCACTAGTGCTCTCATCACAAGTAAGTAGTTCTGCTGCTTATGTTAGTGACTAACCAGGCTGTAACTTCTGGTGACAAGTTGATGAGCATAATTCGGGAGGGAGTGTCAAGGATGTCTCAAAACATTTGGTGGGGATTCTCAGGTTCTTCACTTATGTTGAAGAAGCTAACAATCTAGACAAATTTACTCTCAAAAAAGTCACAAAGTCATTGCAGGCATCTCAAACGCTTCTCAAATTTGTTGTGAAATTATCCAGTTTGTCTCAAGAAGACTAGAGCTGCATTTTTAGGCCTGCATAGGAGCTATTCTCTGACAGAAACATGTCCAGGTCTAAACTATATATATATATATATATATATATATATATATATATATA